AATTAACAGAGCAGTTTGAGTTTATTTTGCATTGCTAAAAAAAAAAAAAGAGCAAAACGCAGCGCGTTTTTGGTCCCCAGAGGGTTAATGACAGTATCCAATTATGACAGTATCCAATGTGCAGCTGTGAGGGTTAATGACAGTATCCAATGTGTATCCAGTATCCACATTCTCCTCAAAACATTGGATTCATCCGTGCTGTGCCGTGTCGAGGGTGTCGAGGTACAACTCACGTAAAGTTGATAATTCCGCGAATGACTGCAATTGCAGATTTCCAACAGAGATCGCGACAAAGAGGAAAAACTGTGGACTGCAGCTTTAAATCAATATATTGTTTTATGTGAATGAGTATGCAGGATGATTTTCACATAGTTTTTAAGCAAATATTCTAGGCTAAGTAATACACTTTTCAAAAGTCTTGTGAAGAAATAATCAGTATGGGTTTCATGACCTTATTTCAGTGACAATTTTTGTTTTGTTTTTTCACAAACCACGCATAAACGTCATTATCTCAAAACTACAAACTTTTAAATACATGCTGCTTACATATTTTTGCAGCAGAGTTTGTGCTGAATACAATGTAATCAGACTTTAGCCATGAAAATGTCACAAGTAACAGAAATAAGCACAAATGTCAGAGCATGTCAGAACACCTCCAGGACCCAGAAAACACCTGAGACCCCAGAGGATTAAAATACTCTTGGGTAAGGAGGCCATAGAACAAGTATCTCCACCCATGAGAGAGTCCGGGTTCTACTGATGGAACTTCATTGTTCCAAAGAAGGATGGGGGATTGCGTCCGATATTAGATTTACGTCATCTGAATCGTTCAGTCAAGAAGCTCAAGTTCAAGATGTTGAATTTGAAGCAGATTGTGACTCAAATCAGATCAGAGGACTGGTTTGTCATGATAGATCTAAAGGATGCATACCACATATCCATCCTTCTACAACACAGGAAGTTTCTGAGGTTTGCTTTCGGGGGCGAAGCACACCAGTATCATGCTCTTCCCTTCGGCTTAGCTTTAACATTCAGCACTTTCACGAAATGTGTGGATGCGGCTTTGGCTTTGTTGAGACTCCAGGGCATTTACATGTTGAATTACATAGACGATTGGCTCATTCTAGCTCAATCGGAGCATATGCCAAGACCAAGGGGTTTTCCCAACCCACTCCGCATGATCAAGGTTACTTGCAGGTGTAACCTCGCACCATAGTGATGTGGATGAAGCCTTGGTTCTTTTCCCAAGGTCCTGTGTTAGAAGTTCATTATCATTGTGTCACGCTCATAACAGATGCATCCATCATGGGCCGGGGACCGGTTATGAAAGGCTGCTCAGCTCGGGATCTGTGGAGGAGTCATCATCTCTCATGGCACATAAATTGCCTCGAAATGATGGCTGTCTTCCTAGTGTTAAAGCATTTCCTCCCATACCTAAGAGGCCATCATGTGGGTTCCAGTGGGATCCATTTAACTGCCTGGTTGGTTCAGTGCTGGAGTTCCTGCAGGATAATCTATCCCCTCCCACACTGAAGGTTTACGTTGTGGTCATAGCTGCCTTCCATGTCTTTTGGGTGGTGTATCACTAAGAAGAAACGTTGGTGACACGTTTCTTCCATGGTGCTTTTGAGGCTGAAGCCTGCAAGTTGTACCAAAGTTCCAGCTTGGGTCCTGGCCATTGTGCTAGTGGGATTATCTACCGCTCCTTTCGAGCCTATCGAGACTGTTCCAGAAAGTTTCTGACCCTGAAAACTGTCTTCCTTCTAGCAATCACATCTCTTCAAAGAGTGGGAGACATAGTATAAAATAAAACAATAACAAAGTACACTCAAAAAAATTATATGTTGGCTTTACTTAACTTTTTTATGTAAACAGGTTCCACCGGTTCCACATAACTATGTTTCGTTAAACAAACATAATATGTTCATGTAACTTCAACATCATGGAATTTGGTCATTTTAAGCGACCCAATTAAACTCTGAGCTAATGAGTTAAGTGAATAACTGAGTGATGATTGAGCATTATTGAAGACACCTGATGTTAACAAGCAGAATCTCTGAAGGAGAAAACCGGAATGTTTAAGTCACCATTATGGAGATAAGCATTTGTTTTAGTTGGGCTCTTGACCATTAACTTATTAACTTTAGATTTTGTTTGGTTGCTGTACATGAGTTATAACAGCCGGATGAACAATAAACAAAGGTCATCTGATGGTGTTGGTTGTGTTTTAACATAATCATTACTTCAATAATGCTCAATCATAACTCAGTTATTCACTTAATTAACTCTTTAGCTCAGAGTTTAATTGGGTCACTTAAAATGACCAAATTCCATGATGTTGAAGTTACATGAACATATTATGTTTGTTTAACGAAACATAGTTATGTGGAACCGGTGGAACCTGTTTACATAAAAAAGTTAAGTAAAGCCAACATATTTTTTTGAGTGTAATCAAATAAAAGCTACCCTAAAAAAAACTTTTTTAAAAGATTTAAAAATACTAAGAGATTCTGTATTTTCGCCTGAACCTTCATCGTAAGGACGACTCGAGCAGGACATTTCTCAGTGATGCGCTACTCAGTTTGAGGTACATTATGGGATGTTGCAACTGTAATTCCTCACCATCAGCATTAACAAGTGCATGTCCATCAACAAACAGATTATTTTACTTATACTTATTTATTTACCGAGTATTTTTTTATTTATTGCGGTGAAAATTTTGAAACTGTATCAATTACAGTGCACACATTAACCGAGCTCTAGCATGAATGACTGATGTAACATAAACTTTTGTAAAACAAATCTTGCTCCATGCTTAAAGGAGAACTCCGGTCAATTTTAACATTGAGCTCATTTTTTTGTACATTTGGAGTGCTGTCAGTACAGACAAAAACGACAAAAATTGGTGTTGCCTACACCGTGTTATACTCTTTTTAAAATTCGCACCCTGTTGACTTCAATGGGGCAAGTTCTAAACCTGCTTTTAGCCTCTTAACAACCTTAATGTGTCATTACAAGTGCACAGCAATGTGAGTGGTGTTGTTAAGAGTGACCACGGTCAATCTGACTGCAGCAGATGTGAAAGATATTAATAAAAATGATGTTAATTCAGCCAGCTCACATACCTGTATTTACTTCCTGTTTTCGTTCGAAGTCCACAGTAGTCAATTGTCGAGTTCGCGCGCACGATCATTGGTAACTAATATCAGAGATCGCGCGCGCGAACTCGTGTTTAGTAAATCGTGTTAGTAAATCGTGTGAATTGGAACTCTGAGCCTTGTTCTTCTTCTTCTGCCCGCACCAGACCCGTGACACTCATCCTTGGGCAGTGAAAAAAAAAACTGGCTTTACCTTTACATTGTAGAGCACAGCTTCTTCTCGACATGATGCTATCCAGTGTCCACAGGAATCAGCTGCAGTGTTTGAGGTTCAAGTTTTCACTGGTGTCTGTGTGCGCAATAAGTGGGCGGGCAATATGCTAATGTTTCATCTTGACATCACAACGAAACGGCTTATGACTTGTTTGAAAAAAATATTCATGGTAACACTTTACAATAAGGTTAATTATTTAACTACATTAGTTAACATTAACTAAGAATGAACAATACTTATTCAGCATTTGTTATCTTTGTTAATGTTAATTTCAACATTTACAAATACTTTATTAAAATCTTGTTAACATTAGTTAATGCACTGTGAACTAACATGAACTAACAATGAACGGCTGGATTTGTATTAACTAACATTAACAAAGATGAACAAAAACAGTAACAAATGTATTGCTCATGGTTAATTCATGTTAGTTAATACATTAACTAATGTTTAATAAATAAACCTTATTGTAAAGTGTTACCATATTCATTTTATTGACACAGAGTGAGTCGACTCTTACTTTTGAAAGACAATAACTTTATATACGGTGCACTTTCAGATTTAAAACTTTGCAGGATGTTTTCATTCACTTAGATGTAATACACTACATGAAAGGTCATTTTCAAAAATCCATAATAGGGGCACTTTAAGAGTTGACCAAGTGGAAAAAATATAAATACAAAAGAGTAAAGGGCCCAAAATTGATCCCTGAGGAACGCCAGATTACACCACACCTACCTCAGACCTGCAACCACCCAGAGTAACAAACTGCTTACCATGTGAAAGGTAGGACTTAAAGCAGTTTAGTGCAGTATTAGAAACACCAAAGACAGGCTTTAAATGTGTTATTAAAAGAGAGTGATCTACAGAGTCAAAAGCGGCTCTGAGATCAAGAAAAATCAAAATGTTAAGACAGCCAGTCCTTAGTGACCGTGCTGTGGAGTTTACGGAAGCCAGATTGAAGGGGTTTAAAAAGATTGTTTGCAGTAAGATTTGAGTGTGATTGAGAAGCAATAATTAGTTCTAAATTTTTAGCAAAAGGGGAAGATTGGAAGTGGGAAATTATTAATGTTTGTATCTTCTTGGTACTTTTTTTTTTAAACGTTTAGGTTTGGTGGTAAGAGACCATTGCTAAAGGAAATAATTACAGGTGAGAAAATCTGATAATCCTTATGTGTTTGAAAGTTACTATGTCTAGTAACCTGCATTGTATCTTGCATCAAAGTTTCTGTCATTGTGAAAGTGGACTTGTTTATTATATATATTATAGTTTAAAGGAGTATATTATTTCATCATTTTGCGGAATTATTTTATTATGACAACATATCCCTATTACATTTATCCCTGGTTTCATAGACAAGGCTTGAGGCTAGTCCTAGACTAAAAAGCATGTTTGAGCTGTTTTAACAGAAAGCAACTTGCACTGACATATCTTAAAATATGTCACTGCATTGTTTTGTCTCAACATGCACAGCAGTAATGTTTTTTTCTAAGGCACGTTTATAAAAGCTACTTAAATGTTCTAATTAAACTAAGGCCTAATCCTGGCTTAATCTAAGCTGTGAAACCAAGCCATAAAGTTCAGATCATTAATTACACTCTGCAATACTCTTTATTATTATTTTTTTTCCATTTTATTTTACTCATCATTTTATTTAACACATTTTTATTATTTGTACAGCTGAAACAGGAAAACAGTATAAAGTCACAGACAGGCAATCAGAAGTCCAGACTTAGTTATATTCAATAAATATTCAGACTGGCACTCTAGTTGGAAGCAATAGTCGTGTCAATCCAGGAGCGCAGTTGGGAGATACGGGCGTAGACTCCAGGGTAACGGGTGTCACAAGAGCGGATGCCCCAGGACACAGACCCCACCAGAGTCCAGACCCCTGAACTCTCACACACCAGAGGACCACCAGAATCACCCTGTGGGAATCACACAGACACAAACACACATTTGAGATCGAAACAGCACCAAAATAGATATGGTAATGTGTTTGTCTTGGTCTCTCTTCATATACTTGGCAAGATGAGGATCCAGAGGCTCCAGCACAGATCATGGCATCAGTGATTCTGTTCTGACCCCAGATCTGTCTGCACACAGCAGAACTCGTGATGGGCAGACCTGTTTGCTGCAGGATTAGAGGACTCGCTGAAAAAAGAGAAGAAAAATGATACTGGCTGTATATAATCATATAATCAACAAATGTTAGTTGAACTTTAAAAGGAATTATTGGATTAGTGGAATGAATATATATGTTGTTATAACATCATAAATCAAAATTACATGTGACTTACATGTGGTGGCAGTTTTGCCCCATCCAGTGGTGAAGCAGCGGGTTCCAGTCAGGATGTTGATGGTTGATGGAGCCAGACATACAGGAGAGATACGGTGAGTGAAGACAACTGGAGACACAAGTTTCAGCAACGCAATGTCATTGTTGATGGTCGAGCTGCTGTAGAGCGGATGGGTGATGACCTGCACAGACAAATAAGGATGAATGGTTACTACTGAAAGCTGACTTTATAAAAGGTAAACTAAGATGTAAGCATTTTCTTATACCCTATAATTTCAGAATTTGGATGTTTTCTTTTCTGTGTTAAATTGTATAGACCTCATGTAGCCCCGCCCCTTTTCAGTGCTGCGCTCATTGTCTTTTGTCTTCCAGTCTGTATTTTCACAGTGATCGTGCGTTTTTATGAATGAACGGCTCGTTTTAAAATCTTCCCGGTCTGCTGACATTTGTTAAGACATCTGCTTTAAACATTACAATCCTCATGATAACTTTCGTTAACTTTACATCAAGTAAATCCACTTCAAAAGCTAATTAGCCTACTCCTGGACAGCAATGCCATAGACAGAGCGACCGCAAAAACGGAAGTTCAAATACAATATTCTAAAGATGGCTGTGCCCTTGTTTCTCTGGCGCATAAGGTCTATGTGTAAAAAATGTGTAAAGGCAAGTTTTAGGAGAACAATAGCATGCAGTATAGATGACTTCAAATCTATGATTAGAAAAATGGTTTCCTTTTTTTTTTTTTTTTTTACCTTTTTTTTTTACACTTTTCAACTTAATTGAGCTTTTCCAAAAAAAATTATATTGAGTTCACCAATTAAAAAACACCACTGTTTAACTTTTTAAATACAATCATTTAAAAAAGTACAAATCGAAGATTAAAATACACTTGTAACCTTTTAGATCATACCTTTGCATAAATTACAAGAGATACTGCTAGTAGTGGTACTAATAAAATATTTAAATGAACATTTAAATAAAATATTTATGATAAATAATATGTTTTGTAGTATATTGATCACTTGGTTATTACTGCATTTAAAAGAACAGAGTAAAATAACAATTAAAAATGACCAGTTATTAGATGTTTTGAAATAATATTAATCTATTCTGTATGCAATAGGTATTGGTCATAAAAAAAGCAAACTGAACTGGTCTCTTTTTTCAATGTCATCTCTGGTCCAGTAAGTTAATTCAAAATTTTTACCTTGGAAACTAGTTTGACCTGGATGGGTTCAACATTGGAGCCACGATTATGTTCTCCAAGAATGACATGATGATAGCCCACTCTAAAAAGAGAGAGATATAGAAAAAAACTAACTGTAAAAAGAAAAGAGCAACAGCATTTATTAAGCAATATTGTTTGAGACGTTTGTCAGATTAAAGACTCTTACACGACACCGCAGTGAGCAGCAGTGAGAACCCAGTTCTGGTTGATCAGGGATCCACCGCAGAAGTGGAATCCGTTGGGCTGCTGTTTCAGAGGTAAAAGCATTGAAAACATGACATATACACTATAAACCCTAACGCTCAAAATACTTAATTGGTTTGAGTAGGAAAAACTTAAATTAAACTAATTAGTTCAGTCAAATTAACTTTTATGAGTATTTAGCACTTTCTTTTTTTTTCAAGTTCACAGAATGGATATATTTTAAGTAAACTGAACTGTTTCATTGTTTTGAGTTTAATGAAATTATTTCTTTTAATTTAGACGAACTTAAGTTTAACTGAAACGGCTGGGATGTATATTTCCCAGCATGCTTTGCCGATGGCACTCGAAAGGGAGAGTAAATGCTAAAATTAAGTGTAATACAATGTTTTTTTGTGCAAGATTAATGTTAAGCGGGTGATTTAGTAATAATTAATGTTTCGTTATGCTAATTTAGAAGAATTTCTGTTAATGTTGGTTTTAGGATAGTTACCATCATGGTGACAAGTGGTGCATGAGCTTGATTTGAGAACAAATAAAACCTTTATATTGCTGCAAGTGTTACTGTATAGCATACTATTGTTAAGATGTTAACAAAATAGTATGTTAGCGAACTAGCTTGTTAAATCTAGCTAAGTTTATACTAATAAAAGTGTTCACATTGAGATTACATACAATTTTAAAGCTGCAGTCCGTAGCTTTTTTAAGTTAAAAATAATCCAAAATAATTATATTAAAAAAAACTTATTCTGCCAGTGGTCAAAACTATCTGCTTGCCATAGCTAGATTCCAAACGGTTAGCTTGTAATAAGGATTTTAATTCCAGTGGTACTGGTGGGTTTCCGCGGGAAATTCGAGCATGTCTTTGCGTCATTACGTCACACCCGTACACATAAAGAAGGAGTTTCGGCTAGCCGGCTATACTGCGCGTGACGAGATGTTTAGATGTATAGGCTTTTCTCGCAGCACTTTACATAATTAAACTTATGGCATCCAGAAAGATCCAAACAACAATCATCAGTGTCAACTGGAGATTCAGCAGTTATAAAACCCAAAAGACTTCGGACTTAAGGTGGCTAGAGAAAGAGAAAGAAACCGTCTCATGCGAACACAAGGATTTAAACATCGGCGGGGCTTTTGAAAAGTGCGTGAACTCCGTGTTTTGAAGGGGTTCAAAACGGAAGAAGAGACGGCTTTTTTCTGCTGAACAAGTAAGTTAAGACATTTCAATAGTTCAATCGTGTAACAGTACGTTTTCTTAATTCACACAGTTATGGAGTTTCCTTTGTTGTGCCTTTCTCGTTTTGCTATTATGGAGAATATGAATTCTGAACTACACAGGTAACCATAAAACACATTAAATTTAACATTAGTCACGCAATGCTGATATTGTTAACATGAACAATTTGAGAACAAAGTAGGCTATAATTTGCACGGTTGCTGTAAATCACGTTGATTAAATCTAACGAAGCTTATCATGTCGAATGCTTTTTCCCCCTTAGTTGGTCAGAACAAAAATGGATGTTACTTGTTCAGAAGACATTTTCTTATGAAAATTCGTATGTTGGTCAAACTTTCAAAAAGTGAATCTGTGATTCTGTATGACAGTATCCACACAGCGCGGTGACTGACAGCAGCACTCGCCTCAAAGCACTGTGTTCATCCGCGCTGTTTCATGCCGATTTACAACCCACGTAAAGATGATAATTCCGCGAATCACTGCAGTTACAGATTTCGAACAGAGAGATGGCGACAAAGAGGAAAAGCTACGGACTGCAGCTTTAAGTGTATGAATTAGTGTACTCAAAAATTTCAAGTTAAGAACAATTCAAATGTACAAATACAAAATTAACTTAAAAAATTTGAGGCAACTGATTGCCTTAAATTTTTTTGAGTTGTGCCAACTTACTCGGGTGTACTCTTTGACCAAATTAGGCAAATGCAGGATAAAAGCCAGCCAATAAACAGTTACCAATACACAGTTACCTGGAGAGAGACCTGCCAGGGCCAAGCACCAGAGATGGCATTCTGTCCGTTCACAATCTTGCTGCCAATCGTCTGTGGCTTAATCGCAGGCACTCCACAACCTGTAGATAAAGAACAGAAGTTCATGACACATGAAGCTCTTTATTTAGGTTTTGCATTTTGTAAATATATATGTTCACCCATAACTTTTCTTGCAAACTTCTTAAGAAGAGACTTACCCAGAGCAGAGGCCACTAGGGCAAGACATGTAATGGCGAAGATCATGATGTCGATGAGTTCGTGATGTCTCACTGTTGTACCTGTAGGTTCTCTCTCTCGCTTTTATATCATTTACAGCATCTATTAAATGCGGGACGTGATCAAGGTCCATACCAGCAGTTTCAATGATCTCATAGATGGGGAATGTTCATCGCTGGAGACAATATGCATCTCCATTGTTCAGAGCTGTTGTCTTATGTGCAAAGAGAATTAATTCTTGAAGCTGTTTTTGACCTCTGTCTATTTCCTTGTCAGGGATCATGATTTCACCTCTGTCATTGTATTTTATCAAATGTTTTGCGTGGGAAGGTTTTGTTTTTGCTGTTGTGAAATTTTATTCATTATATCATGAAAAGTGCTTCCTTAATGGATTTCTTCCTAAAAGTTTTTCAGCAATACTTGCAGTAAATGAGCTGCTTTCCCATTTGATTTGAACTAATCCTATATTCAACCTGGCAATATATTCAAGCTGATACTGTAGAGGAAGGGAGTGAAATTGTGGGATTATCTCACAGTATGATTATATCAGTTATGAGAGCTGGGCTTAAGTGAAACTTGAAGTACTGATAACATCAGTTTCTATAACACCACAAATTTAAATAAAAAAATATTAAGGACAGTCGAACACGTTCTTTTAAAGGGGTCCTATTATGGCCTTTTACGAAGTCTTGATTTTGTTTTTGGGGTGTACTAGACTAGAATATGTTTTCATGCTTGATTGTTAAAAAAATGCATTATTATTCACATATTTTACATTATTACAGCTCCTCTCTCTCCAGTCTTGTTGAATCCGTTGTTTTTGATGAAGCCCCTCTTTCAGTTCCGAAATATGAAATGTGCTGTGATTGGTTAGCTGGCCCAATATGTTGTGATTAGCAGCACTTAGCGCGTGTGTGGGTAATGTCCCGCCCCTCCATAACTGCGAGTTCTTCTCTTATGTACATTTTAATAATGGCATCAATTTCAAACCAATTTGAGCCTGATTCAGACCCTACAATGTTAAGGAACAAGAGGATCGTGCAGAACGCCTCGGGCTACGACTGTAACCCTCGTTCCCTGAGAAGGGAATCGACACATTGTGGAATGCCTTCAGCGTGACACGTCTGAAGCCTGTATGGAACTAGTCCAATAAAAGGACGCCGGATCAACGGCGTCAGCTTCTGATACGTCAAAGCTAGTCGTTGTCAGGAGTGCAGGAAGTGTGGCCGAGGGACGCAGCGTCATAACCCGAGAACTCACGCTGCGTAGAGAATCGAGAGTCTATAATGTTTTATGAAGGAGTGTGGGGAGGCCCAGCCGGAGGCATCACAGACCTCTTGGAGGGAGACCCCTTCTAGCAGGGCTTTAGAGGATGCCACTCCTCTAGTTGAGTGAGCTCTTTTCAGGAGATGCGAAGGCAAACCGCGCGCCTCGTACGCTGAAGAAATAGCCTCTACTATCCATCTGCTAATAGTTTGTTTAGAGGCAGGGGAACCCTTCTTAGGTGACCCAAAACACACAAGCAACTGGTCCGACTTCCTCCAGCCCGAGGACCTGTGTACGTAGGCATAATAGATGTAGCTTAGCTTGATCAGCCGACTCATGTGGTGGAGGATGAAATGCCTGCAAGATTATAGACCGTGCTACATTTGAAGGCACCATAGGCACATAGCCAGGTCTAGGGTGGAGAATGGCTCTCACTCTGCCAGGAGTGGACTCGAGGCAAGAGGGAGCAACAGATAGCGCCTGCAGGTCTCCCACTCTCTTTAGGGACGTAATAGCTAGCAGAAAGGCTACCTTCAGGGTTACAAATTTCTCGGACACCTCATCCAAGGGTTCGAAGGGTGCCAGGGATAGCCCTTCAAGAACCACTGCCAGGTCCCACGTCGGGACGACAGGCCTCATCCTACTAGATTCATGAAGGAAACATACTATAAGTGGGTGTCTCCCCATAGTGCCCACCCCTAGAGGAGTGTGGAAGGCAGCTATGGGTAACACATCGACCTTAAACGTGGACGGTAAGAGCCATAACATGTTGGAAAGGAATGTTTTTCAACTGATGCATATGGACTACTAACGTATACACCGAGGGATAGTTTCTTAATATGGAAAGTGGATTGTGCCATGTGTAAGCATGAGGTATTAGTTCCATTTTTAAACAATAGCAACATGTTTTTCTTCCTTACAAGGAAGTTGAAAGTCGCTGGTGTACTGTATATAAGCTCAATCTTACTGAACTATGTCAGACAAAACACTGGGAACTCATAGACCTGGCACGGATACAGCATTTCTTAAGTTTCTCTCCTTTGTTTGATATGTGTAAAGAATAAATATTTTTCTTGGCAAGATAACTGGTGTCCGCTTCTGGTTCCGTGAATCAAATAATAATGGGGGAAAAGGCTTAATTCCAAGTCTACAAACACATAAGATATTTTAAATAATGTTGTTAAACCAGACAGTGTATGGTAGCCATTGACTTCCATAGTATGTTTTTTTTTCTTACATGGAAGTGAATGGCTACTGTCTGACTACCGACAATCTTTAAAATATCTTATTTTGTGTTCAACAGAACAAAGCAACTTGATTATCGCAGCGCCAGCTAGATAGGTCGAGAGAATATACCAACAAAGTCACGTGGCGTGACGTATGCTGAGCCCTGGAGGGTAAAGCTACAGTAGCTCAGCACTCTACCTCGGTACGCCTTTCTTGCGCATTCCGAGTGACTGAGAACTCTGGCGGTCATCCAGAATTCACAGAACCACAGTTACATGCGTAACTAGCGTTCTGTTTCATTCTTACACCGCCAGAGGTAGTGTAAACACTATGGATGACACATACCAACATAGTCATGAGGAATGCCACCCACCTGATGAAATCAAGCCTGCTCCAGAAGAACCGCAGAACTAACGGCATGATGAGCACCAATGTTGACCTTATAAAACCGGGCAAACGTGCATGGAGAAGCCCAGGTAGCGGCAGTGCAGATATCTACCAGGGAAACTCCTCTAAAAACAACCCATGAAGATAAAATGCCCCTAGTGGAATGGCAAGTTAGTCTCCAGGGCAGTGGTCTCCCTGCTGCCTTGTAAGCCTCTACTATTTAAAAAATGGTCTCTACTATCCAGTTTGACAACCTCTGCTTCGACACTGGAGCACCTTTCTTCACACCACCATGGCAGACAAATAACTGGTCTGACTGTCTAAATTGAACAGTAGAGTTCACATAACACTTCAATGCCCGAACAGGACACAAAAATTGGGCACTTGAATCAGACCCTGAAGAAGTCTGAAAGGAGGCCAGTTCAATGTTTACAACAACTTGAGGGTAAAAGATGACTGAATTAAAATTTTTGGGTGAACTATCCCTTTAATATCTGCTTACACTTTATTTTGATGGTCCCCATCCATCAGACTGACTATAAGTGACTTTACAAGTACGTGTTAACTTATTCTACTAACCCTAACCCTAACCTAACATTCTACTACTACTCTGAGAGTAAGTTGACATGTATTTGTAAAGTTACTTATGTCCAAAGTTGACTATCGAGATAAAATGTAACCAAAATCATTTTGATCCGAGCTGAATTAAATGCTAGCTGTTTAGGCTTTATTTTGATATTAATGTTGTTAACATTATAATGTGTACAATATACTCGGTTCAGTTTGTTCACAATGCAGGTAAAGACAATAAAGGCTCTTTAAACTTCCTCACAATACACAATGCAATACACAATACACAATGAGATACTTAACCACTGAGAAACCTGAGAAAAACCCTGCTTCATTGTTTCATTCATTCACACTTCTGAGCATGTAAGAGAAAATCTGTCTGCTCAGAGACGTGGAAGAAAATTACTGCCAAAGAATTTATATATTTATCATGTCTCTCTCAGTTCTTTTTTCAAACCATCAAAAAACAGAAAAAGGATGTGGCTCATCTAATCCAAAATTACATATTTTGACCCAGCTTGATTTGTTGCCAATGTGACTCAAAATCTTTTAGTTGAGTTACCAAAACTGCCAGCCTATTTTTTTTCTTCATTTTTTTTTTCATATTGCAACTGGTTAGAATATGCTTAAGTTTATCCATCTTCATGCCTTAGTGTTTGTATGGGAACATCATGTGCATGTTAAAAATGTTATGTAAGATGATAAACATTATACCAGATCTGTATTTATAAACAGAGCTGTCACTCATTTTTAATTGTTATTTCTATCTTTCAAAAGAATTTTCATCTGAAGTTACAAATGGGGTGAAACAAAAGTATCATAAAGGAGCCACTAGTAGTAAACCAGAATGGTACACATTTGGATTTTTTTTCTTTGTAATTACTGTAATAAACAGTCTAATTGTGAATGATATTTTGTTCACTTATGGCTGTTTTTTTTATTTATTTTTTATGCCTCTTTTGATTTTATATAAAAAAAATAATGCTCTAAAGTTAAATTATTTTAAAATTGAGTCAGTGATCAGTGTGTTTGTGTCTGTCTACATGTGCAATTTCAACTGTTGACATGGGACATCAATGACAGTGAAGAACAGTTTGCAAGTCCACACAAAACTTTTGTTGGATCTGTTTTGACCTCACTCTGACCGTCACTACGGTCTAATAGGATGATAACCTTCGTTCCGCCTTCTCTCGAGACCTTATGTAAACAAAGTCATGCCCATGACCCCGGAAGCGGAACATCACCCACTATAAAAGGCGAGTTAAACTTCCGGCTCGTTCTCTTTACCTTTCTCGCCTATAGAGACCTGGTACAGGTAGGAACGGAATTAATATTTTTATTCACCATTCAATTCATCACCCAAGTGGTGCAGGTGCCTTGTGTCCCTGTGAATTGTGGTGTTTTATTTTTGTATTATCTGTGCAATCACTTATTTCTTGCTGTATGTGCTTGAATTGTGATTAGTTTATCATTGGTGTTGAGGCTAGTTTCTACACTAGCCATTCAATGTTCAATGCAAGCACTCAATTCATGTTATACCCTATGTGCTTATGAATTGAGAATTATTTTATGGTACTATTCAGATATTCTGAGACTAGTTTCTAAACATACTAGCCATTCAATATTATGGGTTATTTCTGTTTTTTTTTTCAGAGTATCCATCAATAACCTAGTGAATATAGTTCATTACCAAATTTTGGTGAGTATTGTGCCTTTTGAGCCCTATATCACTGTTCGCAGCTGTTGGGGTTTGATATAGGCCTGGTAAATACGTTTGCGTACTAGTGCAGGTCATTTTTGCTTTGAGTGGGCTTGATATATCCTTCACGGCTGTACGCAGTCAGTGGGATTGTGTGTGGCATGGCCTCTCATTGCTGCCGATATTGCCAATCACCAATGG